TGTTATTTTTGCATGCGGGAAAAGTCCTAAGTACCTTGTCAGTATGTTGTCGAAGGCTTTCATGGCCAGAATCACTGGGTTGCTGTGAGTTTTCCGGGCTGTATGGCCATGTTCCAGAAGCATTCTCTCCTGACTTTTCTCCCTCATCTATAACAGGCATCCTCAGAGGTTGTGAAGTTTGAGTGTTATTAATTGCCAACAGTCACGCTTTGATGTATTGTCGAAGGCTTTAATGGCCGGAATCACTAGGTTGTTGTAGTTTTTTTGTGCTGTATGGCCATATTCTAGAAGCATTCTCTCCTGACGTTTCGCCTGCATCTGTGGCAAGCATCCTCAGAATGAAGTATCTCCAAGATACCCTGTTTTAACAGCCTTCCTAACATCTTACAAACTCTGGACTGTGGCTCCTTTGATTGAAGAACCGGTGTTGTCCATAGACACCTCTCCAAGGCCATGTGGCCAGCATGACTGCATGGAATGCTGTTACCTTCCCACCAAAGTGGTACCTATTGATCTCACATTTTCATGTTTTTGAACTGCTAGGTTGGCAGAAGCTAGCCCGATCAGCAGGAGCTCATCCTGCTCCCTGGATTCAAACCGCCAACCTTTTAGTTAGCAAGTTCAGCAGCTCAGCGGTTTAATCTTCTGTGACACCAGGGGGTCCTGAACCTAAATGTGACTTGCTAAAGGTCACACAGCAGGAAATTCTCATTTGGGTGTTGAAGTCCAAAACACCTGGAGGGCCCAAGTTTGCCCAGGCCTGTTCTAGCATGTGGTCAGTAAAGGTAGAGAAAGGTAAAAGTTTTTCCCTGACATTAAGTCCATCTGAACATTAGGAAGGAGTTCTTGATTGTGAGAGCTGTTCAGCTGTGGAACTCTCTGCCCCGGAGTGTGGTGGAGGCTCCTTCTTTGGAGGCTTTTAAACAGAGGCTGGATCTCGTCCTTGTTTCATGGAAACCTTGCTTGGAAGATTCATGTTTAAGTGCCTTTTGTTTCATGGTTTTGATTCTTGGGATTCTATGGTTTTGTATTCATGCCTTGGGTTCATGTTTCCTGATTTTATTAGAGAAGCTTTGCCTTTGTTTCATGGAATTTGCTGGACTATTACCCTGGACTACTTTGTTCCTGCTTATCTTCCTACCTAATTGGATTTACCTATTTCTTTTAAGTGCTTTTTAACTTTACTGCTTTTTAATTATCTTCAATAAAAGGATTGTTTTCCTTTAAAATATAATAAAATAAACAGAGGCTGGATGGCCATCTGTCAGGGGTGCTTTGAATGTGATTTTCCTGCTTCTTGGCAGGGGGTTGGACTGGATGGCCCACAAGGTCTCTTCCAATTCTGATTCTATGATATGTGTCCGACTCTGGATGTTGGTGCTCATCTCCATTTCTAAGCCAAAGAGCCGGCGCAATCCATAGACACCTCCAAGGTCATGTGGCCAGCATGACTTCATGGAGTGCTGTTACCTTCCCGTCGGAGTGGTACCTATTGATCTACTGACATTTGCATGTTTTCGAACTGCTAGGTTGGTAGAAGCTGGGGTTGACAACGGGAACTCACCACACTCCCTGGATTTGAACCTGCGACGCTCATCTCCATTTCTAAGCCAAAGAGCCGGCGCAATCCATAGACACCTCCAAGGTCATGTGGCCAGCATGACTTCATGGAGTGCTGTTACCTTCCCGTCGGAGTGGTACCTATTGATCTACTGACATTTGCATGTTTTCGAACTGCTAGGTTGGTAGAAGCTGGGGTTGACAACGGGAACTCACCACACTCCCTGGATTTGAACCTGCGACGCTCATCTCCATTTCTAAGCCAAAGAGCCGGCGCTATCCATAGATACCTCCAAGGTCATGTGGCCAGCATGATTTAATGGAGTGCTGTTACCTTCCCGCCGGAGTGGTACCTATTGATGTACTCACATTTGCATGTTTTTGAACTGCTAGGTTGGCAGAAGCTGGGGCTGACAACAGGAACTCACCACACTCCCTGGATTCGAACCTGCGACTTTTCAGTCAGCAAGTTCAGCAGTTCAGCCCTTTAACCCACTGCGTTAGCATGTTGTCATCTTTTTTGAAATCACAGAGACCCAGAAAGGGACATGACACTGTAATTGCTGAGGTCAGAGTTATAGAGAAAACCTCTGAGGATGCCTGCCATAGATGCAGGCGAAACGTCAGGAGAGAATGCTTCTGGAACATGGCCATACAGCCCGGAAAACTCACAACCACCAGTCTCCCAGATGTTCAGTTAGGGAGTAAGATGGGTCCTTTTTCTTGCTAGTTTACCACTTCCAGTTTTGTCCCAAATGCTTTAAAGCAGTCTGATGGCTTGGGGGGAAAAAATAAATTAAATGTGCAGTACCTGACTTTGAACACAAGGTGGCAGTAATCGAACGGGAATGAGTCCCTTTAAGAGACCCAAAGGAGTGCTCTAGGAATGGAGTGTGAGCTTGTGCAGGAATTCTGGATGTACTGCAAGGAGGGAGGGCTGTGTGTATGTGTGCACGTGCGTACTGACACGTGCAACTAAGACCAAAAAAAAGGAGAGGCTTGCCTATTTTTACTCCCAGCAAGAATCTTATGTACCCTGCTCTCTTTCTGCGCCTGTAGTTCAGGGAAGGTGCAGGGATGACCATTTTAAATAGGCTGAAATGTGACCAGATTTGTGTGAACAACAGTGAGTCAACCTTGGAAATCTAAGGGCATCCCTACCACTGCTGAGAAAGTGCAGTTTTGGACTATGAAGCCCAGAATGCCCCATCTCACATGACTGTGGCCTAGGACCATGCTAGATGGGGATGCTGGGAGCCATAGTCCTGGAAAGGAACAAATATGAGCTCCCCATTATTTATTTATTTATTTATTTATTTACTTTGCTTATATACCGCTGTATCTCAAGCCCGAAGGCGACTCACAGCGGTTCACAAACAGTAAAAACAGTAGAAACAGCAGTGGTTCCATACAACATATAACAATTGACTTAACACATTATCCATAAATTAACAATAAGCAATTACAATGCACAATTATTACAAAAAACAACCGTACCCAATCTTCTCATCATCCAAGCGTAGTCCAGGTTCGTCGTCCATTGTTCCATTACATACCTCCCAGCCAGATGCTTCATACACAAAGCTGTACCTTCTTGCAGGTATATTTGTTGTCATTCTAGGCTGCATCCCAGTCATCCTTCCTACTCCTTATTGCATTTTTTCACTCATTCCAACAATGGCTGTCTGTCTTTGGTTGTTGTGTATTTTCTGGGCTGTGTGGCCATGTTCCAGAAGCATTCTCTCCTGACATTTTGCCTGCATCTATGGCAGGCATCCTCAGAGGTTATGAGACCTCACAATCTCTAGGGATGGCTGCCATAGATGCAGGCAAAACGTCAGGAGAGAATGATTCTGGAACTCACAGCAACCGAGTGATTCTGGCCATGAAAGCTTTCGACAACACATTGTCAGGCATCTTGTTTGTATTGAAGGGGACAAGGGGTCTGATCTCATGTGGTTAATAAATAGCAATAGTATGAAGAATGGAGCTTGTTGACCGCATGGTCACAGGTTTGAATCTGGGGAGTGGGGTGAGCGCCACAACCTCTGAGGATGCTTGCCATAGATGCAGGTGAAACGTCAGGAGAGAATGCCTCTAGAACATGATCATATAACCCGAAAAACCTACAACAACCCAGTCTTTGGACTGCAGAAACTGCAATGGAATGATAGATGATGTTCAGAGGAAGGCAGTGGTAAAATCCTTGTGTGTAGTCATTCAAAAAGGGACATCCGAGAAAACCATGGGGTTGCCATAAGCTGATGGATGACTTGAAGGTACGCACATAGTGTCACCTCAACTATGCAACACCCATTTCCATCTGTTGCCAAAAATCCTCCAGCATTTGCCATACATGAGCATCTAGCGCAGTGGTTCCCAACCTGTGGTCCATGGACCACCAGTGGTCCCCAAGAACGAAAATATGATCCACATCCTCAGCATTACTACATTGTTGCTTCAAAGCCACGCGACAAGAGCAACTGGTTTCGCGAAACCCTCTGAGGCTGTTAGGAATTGTGGGAGTTGATGTCCAAAACACCTGGAGGACCCAAGTTTGCTCATGCCTACTCTAGATCCTGAGGTTTCATTAGGTGGAACCCATGGGCAGTATGGAAACACACTGATGATAAAGGACTTCCCAGAGGTCATTGGTGAGAATCGACCAAGGGCTTCATATAGGGATTGTACCAAGTTCAAACCAGACACCTTTTTAAAAAATTGCATAATAGTTTTTGGATTGCTGCTGTTATTGTTTTGGGTCAAAAGGTGACTTTTTTTCTGTAACACGCAGTGATCGTTGGACTACAAGTCCCAGAAACCCTAGAGCAGTAGTTTCCAAGCTTTTTTGACCAGGAACCACTTTGTCCAGGGACCACCCTCCAACATTAGTACCAAAAGGATTACTAATTAGTTTTTGGTCAACTTTAGATTCTGTTTGGTTATTTGGGATGCTGATTCAGAAAATTCCATTGGATAGACCACATCAGCTCTGGTTTCTGATACAGAAACATATACCATCCAGTAGTCACCATCTGCTCACCCAGAGAAAACAATATTTATGTATTTATTTACGACATTTATATGCTGCCCTTCTCACCCGTTTCACCTCAACTAAACAATTATTTCATAATCTAGAGCTGATGTGATAGTACTCTTTGGTGGGTAGTTATCCTCTCCCCCTCCCGACATCCCCATTGCCTGAGGGATATGTGAGGAAAAGGAAAGAGCCTGAGGCTGTTTGGAATTGTGGGAGTTAGAGTCCAAAACATCTGGAGGGAGGGCCCAAGTTTGTCCATGCCTGCTATAAACCCATTTGCTCAATAAGGACATGGTAAGTCAATCATGTACATTTCCTTGCTCCAATGTTTACCCGGCCCAAGAATTAAATTCCAAAGTATATCGACACGCAGGCACACAAGTACGAAGATACAAGAGTCTTTTGATTAAATCCTGTCTTTCTTTATTCCTCATTGCTCATAGTATACAATTGTAAACATCCTTTTGAAAAAAATCTCCCATCGAGCCCATTGTCCATTTCTTTTTTTCTCAAAAGTTCGCAGCAATACTTATTACATGGAAAATTAAAAAGACCAAGAATCCTCTCCAAAGGAGATAAAGGTAATTATTTCTCCCATTCCCTTTCTGTACGAAAGAACCATCCTTTCCCCTTATAGAAGAACAAAGTTTTAATCTCTCTCAAGTCTCTCCTGGAGCCTCTCTCTCTCTATATATATTTGTTTTGCTTTACCAAAAAAAAAAAAAGAGAAGAAAAATCATATATATTTATATATATCTCTGTTCATATTTATGGAGGGTCACCAATGAGGTTTTGTGTTTTGAGTTTCTGTACAAATGATGACATCAGACAGTGCGGGAGACAAAACACGAGGAAGGCAAGGAAAAACAGAAACCATCGCTTGTGTTTTTTAAAAAACTAACAGGTATCATAGTAAGAAAACTGGAATAGTCAAACGTAATAGCCCCCTAACACCTGCCTTCTGACACAAAGCCCCTTTCATCCAATTGTGGGGAAAAATAATATGTGTGTGCAACCCGTTTGGTGTTCTAAATTTTGGCATTTCGTAGGCAGAAGAGATTGACTGGCATCAAAAGGAGCAGCTCCTCCTGTCCTCCATTCCAGGGTGCCAGGACTCCTGGGTTCTCTGGTAAAGGGTATTGCGGGACGTCACGGTTCAACGGGGTGAGACCAGAACCCGGAACACCGGGTCCCAAAATCCACGTTGGGTAGCCGACTGCAAATCCTCAAGTCCTGTCACTTCTCTCAAGGAGTCAAGGGGAGGAAAAAAGGGAGGAAGGGATGGGTCAGTTGTGTGCAAACATCTGCTGTAAGAAAAAAAGGATGCACCAGCTGTCAAAGAGGCAGCGAGAAAGAGAACGAACCCAGCCGTCCTGACACGCCAGACACTTTGCGGAGCCCAAATGCCACGCACGACAGAAACGAACGGATGTGGAAGTCTGCAGTGGAATTCTGCCCTTTCGGATTGAAAAGTCTGCCAACAAGCCAAACGCTAGGATGTGTGTGTTTGTGTGCATGTGTGTGTGTGCAAGACATCTTCCAGCGTGCTACAGAGCCCTTGTGTTGTTGTTGTTGGTTCTTTTTTTTATATTTTTTTGCGGTGTGTTTTCCGTGTGCCTACGATGCCCAAGTTCAACGTCTCGAAGTCACTGCCCTCGTCTTGGCAAAGGGTCAGCGCATGCCAACCCTACGAAGTCTTATCCCTTCTGTCCTGCACCCGGACCACGGTAGTCCCCGCACGGGGGAATGTGCCCGCTTCGGACCGTTTCCCCCTCGTTCCAAACATCTGTTGTTTGATTATTTGTTTGCCCGGTTCGGGAAGACGGGGGTCAGGGTTGAAAAACCAGGGTGGCCCCACCACCTCCTCAGTAGTGGGACGGTAGAGAAAATCAGCAGCATCCTCGCCATGGGTTTTACAAGGTGCCGTGCTGGGATTCATACTTGGAGAGGATGCTGCGGTAGCGGGTCAGTTCCTGGCGGATATTGGCCACTTCCTGGCGGAGGACGGCATTCTCCTTCTCCAGGAAGGCCGCCCGCACTGTGATCTGGTTCTCTTTCAGGCGGCGGGCGTCTCGGGAGCGTTTTGCCGCCTCGTTGTTCTTGTACCGCCGGTTCCAGTATTTTTCATCCTGGACCAAACAAAAAAAGGGGACAAAAAGGGGCAGATTGTGAGGGGAGAGTGCCAGCAGAATACATACGGCATACATTAGAAAGTGTCACATCACATTTCTTTGGACATGAGCCATTCGCCACTACTCTGAGACTCTTGTGAACAGAACAGTTTGGAAACCAAGGCCTATGAGGAGCGGTTGAGGGAGCTGGGTTTGCTTAGTTTTGATTGTGTGTTCCTACACAGAAGAGGGTTGAACTGGATGACCCTTGTGGTCCCTTCCATGTCTATGATTCTATGAAAACTCCACTTTGATGTACAATGAAATACCGTTGCAGTGCAACTGTCCTTCAACTGAAGCACTTTTAGTTCAGAGCAGAATCTTGAATCATAGAGTTGGAAGAGACCTTGTGGGTCATCCAGTCCAACCCCCTGCCAAGAAGCAGGAAAATTGCATTCAAAGCACCCCCAACAGATGGCCATTCAGCCTCTGTTAAAAAGACTCCAAAGAAGGAGACTTCACCGCACTCCGGGGCAGAGAGTTCCACAGCTGAACAGTTCTCACAGTTAGGTAGGGCAGAGAAAGCTAACGACACAACCCTCAGGATTGTGTACCTGGCCCTTCTTTTCCCAGCCTAACCTACCTCACAGGATTGTTATAAGATATGGATAAAGATAAAGTAAAGGTAAAGATTTCCCCTGACATTAAGTCTAGTCATGTCCAATTTTAGGGGATGGTGGTCATCTCCATTTCTAAGCCAAGGAGGCGGAGTTGTTCGTAGACACCTCCAAGATCATGTGGCCAGCATGACTGCATGGAGCGCCACAGTGCACAACTCCATTTCTAAGCCGAAGAGCCGGCGTCGTCCATAGACACCTCCAAGATCATGTGGCCGGCATGACTGCATGGAGCGCTGTTATCTTCCCACCAAAGCAGTACCTATTGATCTACTCATATTTGCATGTTTTTGAACTGCTAGGTTGGTAGAAACTGGGGCTAACAGGGAGCTCAAGCCGCTCCCCGGATTTGAATCTGCGACCTTCGGTCAGTAAGTTCAGCAGCTCAGCGGTTTAACCCACTGCACCACCAGGGGACCCATATGGAAAGATAAGGGAGGAATTAATAATAACATGGAAGAAGAGTGGGGGATACACAGGTAAACATATATTTTTTAATTTAATATGTATTGTTGTTTTTAATATTTTGTTGGAATATTTTTTTAAAATAGGATAAAAAGATAGAAAAACTGAAATGAAATAAACCCATATCCAAACTATTTGCAATACAATATACAGAATCAGCCAAACAGTGGCTTAGGGAATTTATTGAACCACAATAATTTTGTCAAATCTGCCACCAATTCTCTGGCTCTCAACTTTTGAATCAAAGATACTGACAACAACCCTGCAGTGGGTAGCTGAGAGCATCAGGACTGTACAATTTCTCTTGTTCTCACCTTTTGCTCATCCGGCACTTGTATTTTCCGCGCCTTTTTCATGATGGGCTGCGGCTTCAGCTCTTCTTCAGAGAACCGATGTTTCCGTGGGTCGAAGGTCTCATGTCCCGGGATGCTGGACAGTGCCAAGTCCGCAGGGTCTGGGTCAAAGTTCATGAGGACCTCCACGGCCTCGGGGTCCACCGGGCTGGGCGTGCTTCGGGACACAGGTGTGATGGGACCTGAGGCAGGTAGAGAAAAATCCAGGTGAGCGGAAGAGCCACTAGAGGGCAGCAACGGGGCTCCAGGTGTGTTTATCTGCAGTGCAGCAGGACGGGTCTGCTCTGTCCTAAAACTCTTTTGAGTGTGACCCTGAGTCCTTTGCAAGCACATCCTCCGGTTGCAAGGCGGAGGGAGGGAGGACGCTGCAGATGTGTGTCTTGACAACTAGGACATGGGAATCGGGAACACACACACACACTGCTTTGCCTACTCAGCCGTGCACACATCACAAGGATTAAAGGCACACACAGAACGGGGGTGGCAAATTTCGGAGGATTAAACAGAATTGTGGAATCTGTTTTGGGAATGGCACCGCACTGGAGGCAGTGTCCAGCTGGCTGGCCACGTGGGCCAAATGGACCCGTTCGATGCCAAACAGATGAGAGGGCATTTGGGCTTTCGAAGGCCCCTGTTTGCCCTATGCGAGAGCCGCTTAAGAGAGCGGACTTATCACGTGAGCAGAGAGTGTGCAGCAGGGGTCGCTCAAGTTCTATTTTGGAGAACTGCAGCTCCCAGAAACCAAGATCATCCCATTGCAAAGCATTTGGGGACAGCGGAGAGAGGATCCTAGAGTGGGAAGAGACCACCAGGACCATCCAGTCCAATCCTCTGCTAGGATGGAACACACAATCAAAGCACCCTCAACACATGGCCATCCTGCCTCTGCTGTAAAAACACCAGCGACTGAGAATCCACTGCCCTTCAAAACAGCACATGCCACTACCAAACAGTTCTGCCCAGCATTTTTCCCAATGTGTTGTCGAAGGCTTTCATGGCCAGAATCACTGGGTTGCTATGAGTTTTCAAGGGGTGTAGGCCATTGAGTATCTGATAAGGAAGGTTGCATAGGAATGTGTTGTTAACACTGGGCCTCAAGGGCCTTCAAAGGAGCCCCCGGTGGCGCAGTGGGTTTTGTGATTTAAAAAATTTTTTTTTATTTTTGGTTTGGTTGTTATTTTTTTTGGTTTTTAATTCGTTTTTTTTTTTTTGTTTTTTTTTTTTTGTTTTGTTAGGTTTTGTTTTTTGTGTTTGTTTTTTGGGAGTAGTCAGGTTTGTTTATTATTTTTTTTTTTTTTATGTTATTTATTTTTTTGTTTTTTTGGTTTGTTGTTTGTTTTTTTATGGGGGTTATTGGGTTTTTTAAATTTTGGGGTGTTTTTTTGGTTTTTTTTTAATTTTTTTTTTTTGTTTTTTTTTAGTTTTTATTTTTTGCTGGGGGGTGAGTTTTTTTTGGGGGTTTATGTTGGGTTATTTTGTTTATTTTGTTTTAATTTTTTTTTTTTTTTTTTATTTTTTTTTTATTAATGTTTGGGTTTTTGTGGTTTTGGATGCGTTGTAATGTTTTGGGGTTGTTGTTTGGTTTTTTTTTCCTTTTATTTATACTTTATTTTTATTTTTATTTATTTCCTTTATTTTAAATTTATTTTTACTTTTGTTTTTTTTAAATTTTTTTTTACTGTATTTTCTTTTTTTTTTTTTTTTTTTTTTTTTTTACTTTTTATTTTAAGTTTTTTTTTGGGTTAAATCACAGTTTGGGGGGGTTTTTTTTTTTTTCTTTTTTTTTCTTTCTAATTTTTTTTACTTTTTGATTTTTTATTTTTTTCTTTTTTATATTTTTTTTTTTTTTTGGTGGTTTTTTTTCTTTTTTTTTTTTTTTTTTTTTTTTTTATTTTTTTAAAGCCCTGTGCTGGCAGGACTGAAGACCAACAGGTCACAGGTTCGAAACTGGGGAGAGGCGATGAGCTCCCTCTCTATCAGCTCCAGCTCCTCATGCGGGGACATGAGAGAAGCCTCCCACAAGGATGATAAAACATCAAAATATCCGGGCGTCCCCTGGGCAACGTCCTTGCAGACGGCCAATTCTCTCACAACAGGATGCTCCTGACACGACAAAAAAAAGGGCCTTCAAAGAGAACTTTTGGGTATCTGATGAAGAAGGCTGCAGAGGAAGGTGAGGGAAGCTTCCAGAGATGTTAGCATTGGACCCCAAGGGTCTTCAAAGAGAACTTTTGGGGTATCTGATGAGGAAGGTTGCATAGGAATCTGGGGGAAGAAGCTTCCAGAGATGTTAGCACTGGTCCAGTGCTAACATCTCTGGAAGCTTCTTCCCCCACATTCCTATGCAGCCTTCCTCATCAGATACCCAAAAGTTCTCTTTGAAGGCCCTTGAGGCCCAGTGTTAACATCTCTGGAAGCTTCCCCCCACATTCCTATGCAACCTTCCTTATCAGATACCCAAAGTTCTCTTTGAAGGCCCTTGGGGTCCAGTGTTAACATCTCTGGAAGCTTCCTCTGCGACCTTCCTCATCAGATACCCCAAAAGTTCTCTTTGAAGACCCTTGGGGTCCAGTGCTAACTTCTCTGGAAGTTTCCCTCACCTTCCTCTGCAGCCTTCCTCATCAGATACCCAAAAGTTCTCTTTGAAGGCCCTTGAGGCCCAGTGTTAACATCTCTGGAAGCTTCCCCCCACATTCCTATGCAACCTTCCTTATCAGATACCCGAAGTTCTCTTTGAAGGCCCTTGGGGTCCAGTGTTAACATCTCTGGAAGCTTCCTCTGCGACCTTCCTCATCAGATACCCCAAAAGTTCTCCTTGAAAGCACTTGGAGTCCAGTGCTAACATCTCTGGAAGCTTTCCCCACATTCCTCTGCAACTTTGATCATCAGATACCCCAAAATTTCTCTCTGAAGGCCCTTGGGGTCCAGTGTGGTGTAATTAAGGGAATCCCCTTCCAAAATATATCCTTTTACCCCCTCCCCAACTTTGAAGACCCTTGAGATCTCATCCCACCAAACTGGAGTGAGGTCTCAGGAGTCTTGATCTGCTCCCCCATTAATGGACCCATGAAGCTGCAAAGTCCCATAGTCTTGCCACAGTGCCATAACCCACCTGACACTGTCAAGCCCCATAGGTACTCAGTGCTGCAACTAAGGGGATCCCCTTCAAAATATGTACAGCATCATAACCCACCCAAGACGCTGCCAAAGCCAATAGATACTCAGTGCTGCAATTAAGGGGAACCCCTCCAAAATACATATAGTGCCATAACCCACCCAAAATGCTGCCACGCCCCATAGGTACTCAGTGCTGCAACTAAGGGAACCCCCTTCAAAATATGTACAGCACCATAGGTAAAGGTTTTCCCCTGACATTAAGTCCAGTCGTGTCCGACTCTGGGGGTTGGTGCTCATCTCCATTTCTAAGCCGAAGAGCCGGCGTTGTCCACAGATACCTCCAAGGTCATGTGGCTGGCATGACTGCATGGAGCGCCGTTATTTTCCCGCCAGAGCACTAACTATTAATCTACTCACATTTGCATGTTTTTGAACTGCTAGATTGGCAGAAGCTGGGGCTAACATCAGAAGCTCACGTTGCTCCCTGGATTCAAACCTGCAACCTTTCAGTCAAAAAGCTCAGTAGCTCAGCACTTTAACCCACTGTGCCACCAGGGGTTCCATGAGCCATAACCCACCCAAAATACTGCCAAGCCCCATAGATACTCAGTGCTGCAACTAAGGGCATCACTTCCAAAATATATTTATTTCCCATTTCCATAAATGTTTCCGCCTCCCTTTAAGGTTCTGGCCTCTCTCCCTGCTTGAAAACACCCCCATTCTTCTCCCAGTGCACCCCTCTCCATCAAGATCCCCCCATAACTTCTCTTTGACCCTTGAAATCTCATCTCACCAAATTGGAGTCTCAGCTGCAAAGTCCCATAGTCTTGCCACAGCACCATAACCCACCCAAGATGCTACCAAGCCCCATAGGTACTCAGTGCTGCAACTAAGGGGATACGTACAGCGCCATAACCCACCCAAAATACTGCCAAGCTCCATAGGTATTCTGCCCCATAGGTAAGGGGATCTCCTCCAAAATATTTACAGCGCCATAACCCACCCAAAATGCTGCCAAGCCCCATAGGTACTTGGTGCTTATGTACAGCACCATAACCCACCCAAAATACTGCCAAGCTCCATAGGTACTCAGGGCTGCAACTAAGGGGATACCCTCCAAAATATTTACAGCGCCATAACCCACCTAAAATACTGCCAAACCCCATAGGTATTCGGTGCTGCAACTAAGGGGACCCCCCTCAAAATATGTATAGCACTATAACCCACCTAAAATGCTGCCAGGCCCCATAGATACTTGGTGCTTATGTACAGCGCCATAACCCACCCAAAATACCGCCAAGCCCCATAGGTACTCGGTGCTGCAACTAAGGGGACCCCCTCCAAAATATTTACAGCGCCATAACCCACCCAAAATACTGCCAAGCCCCACAGGTATTTGGTACTTATATACAGCACCATAACCCACCCAAAATACTGCCATGCCCCATAGATACTCAGTGCTGCAACTAAGGGGATCCCCTTCAAAATATGTATAGCGCCATAACCCACCCAAAATGTTGCCAAGCCCCATAGGTACTCAGTGCTGCAACTAAGGGGATCCCTTCCAAAATATATTTTCCACTTCCATAAATGTTTACCCTTCCCTTTAAAATTCTGGCTTCTCTCTCTAGTTCCAGAACACCCCCATTCTTCCCCCAGTGCATCCCTCTCCATCAAGACCCCCCCATAACTTCTCTCTGAAGACCCCATAGAGCTTGAGTCCTTTGGTGGAGGTCTCAAAGAACACTGATTCCTGCCCAAAAGCTGCAAAGTCCCATAAGGGCAATGTTCCTTGTGCAATTAAAGGGGAGGGGGCTGCTTTGTTATGATTCACCAAGCTTCCCCATAAGTACTACCCCCTCCCCTTTAGATCATTGTTTTCTCTCTAACAGAACCTCCCACAACAATTGGATTGATTGTAGAGTAGGCCTGGGCCTACTTGGGCCTTGGGGGTGTTTTGGACTCCAACTCCCACCATTCCTAACAGCCTCAGGCCTCTTCCTTTTCCCCCTCAGCGCTTAAGCGGCTGAGGGGGAAAAGGAAGAGGCCTGAGGCTGTTAGGAAT